CTCTAAGAGCGCGTGGTTTTTTGTTTTTTTTCTTACCGTAGATGCCAATGGCTGCCTTTCTGTATTTGTGGTAAGCAAACCCACTCATGCTTTGATGCTCAAATATTTCCGTTTTTTGCCAAAGGCAGAAATCTTAGAGAGCAGAACAGTGGTGCACGGTGGGGGGGAGGGAGTGGGACAGATGAATATAATTGCTTTTATTACCTCACTCTGGATGACACCATGCAGCTTCGCTTCTCTCATGTTGGAAAGCAGTCGGTGCTGGAATTGAATTCCTTATACTCAGGGGTGACTTTATAAGGGAATCCAACAGGACGGTTATTGCACCATCACCGATGTAATGAAACCTACTCAAAGGGTGGCAACCGTACAGACCAAGGTCACTGTTAATATATGGTGATCTCCTACGGTACAGTATAGGAGTTTGCCAGCCGTGGAGGCGAACTCAGTCTTCTCTAGTCAGGCTAAGCAGTCGTGGCGGACTCAGGAGGACTATTGTGTTTACTCAAGTCTCCCTCCTGCCCTTTTCTTTTTTTTTTTTTCCTGAAGCTCCAGCTGATTTTGCTCATTCTGAAAATGGAGGAAAGTCAATTTCCAGAGGAACCAATGCCGCCCATTGTTCCCATTCTGTGTGGACCCAGTCGGTACGTCCATGTTGGTCCTTTCACTTTTTACACAGGTTGAAAGCCTGCATGGGTTTAGCAGAGAAATTGTTTGGCCTCATGGTCACTAGTTTTACTCTAACCTACGTGTAAGTAAATTGTTTGGGGACCACACGGATTCAGCAGCCAAATATATTCATGTGCCACTTGTTTATCGGCCCATTGTGGACACACGGGGGTCGCATGAGAAAGTGCTGACTGGACATTCCTGTATGCATGTGGGAGAGACTTTGTTACTGTGTCTTCATCAATACTACTGGGTTTTTTTTTTTAAAACACAGAACCTGACGCCTGTCCCTGTTAAATAGAAAAACATGTTAGCAAAGTAAGTAAATAAATAGATGTTAACATTTTTTCTCATTAACATCTCATTAAAATGAAACAACATTGACAAACTGGTGGCTTTTAACTCACTTCTGTCATAAAGCAGAACATTAAAAAAAATTATATTTTCACAGCGATTCACTTCGAAAACCATAAAACTATAAAGTGTAAGGTTACTTTATCAAAATTGTGTTCTACTTAATTTCTTGGTGTTTATGAAGGAACAAAGTAGTTTCTTTGCTTTTATTTTTTCTTTATATCTCAAACTCAATGGGTTTTTTACCTGCATTGTCCACGTAAGTCCATTTTAGAAACTTATGGATGTGTTGTTCTGAAAACTTTCACCCAAATTACTATTTAGCCTGCCATATATATATATATATATATATATTTTGGAAAAGCGATGACCAACAGAAAGCAGCAGTGATCCAAGTATCTTCTCTGTCCTATATTAATTTATTTTCTGTTTCCCTGCAGCTAGTCAACCAGAATAATCCATCAGGAAAGTCCAGTGAGCTTTTCCACCGCCAAGCATAAATGGGATTTTGCATGAGTGATTACAAAGCTTAGTGTCCACACTACTGTGTGAATGAGTCCACATAGACGCACAGTCTCACCTACACACACTGAGTACGCACAAAGTTTGACGTCGTCTTTCCAACAACCTCTGCGGACCTACTCGGAGTGAAGTTGTGTCGTCACTTTATGTCAAATACTCCCCGGCTTTAAAAACAAACCGCCTACAGCGTCAAATTGCTTAAATGTTACACAGCACAACTGACATTTTTACTCAATTAGTAGTGAAGCAGAGGGGGGAAGAAAAACTATTTTCCACTTCACATGTTACCATTTCTCCTCAGATTTATTCATACAGTAACATATTCTGCAAGAGAACACATGGGTCTCCTTCTGCATTTAGTTCAGCTTAGTTGGCTGCAGGGAACAGACGACGTCCCTGACACGAGAATAGTCGGACATCAAAGTTTTATGCTGAATCGCTGCTTCCATTGTGTGCTTACACAAGCACATCAGCACAGCAGCTTTTCCGGTCCTGGGCAAATAAAAATGTCATACATGTCAGGTTCGCACAGTGCCAATTAGGAGACGTTTGCCATTTCTAAGAACTTCCCCGAGAAAGTCTCTGAGAAAACTTTTAGTTCCTGCCACTCTAAATATAGACTTATAATTTATCCTCATAGTCTGATTTTGTGGGGAAGGATTTTCCTAGACAGAGAGGATTATTGTCTGAGTTTTATTATTGTGATCTCAATAGTGTCTGAATTCTGTAGCGAAAGAATTTGATTGGATTTGATGTTTCTTTAGGTAAAGGAGTTGGAATCACAGTTTGTTGCCAATCCAGTTGTTATTAATCTTACACTTATACTGCAAAATTGTGGCCAGTTTTTGTGGTGCATATCTATCAAAGGAGTGTATCATCTGCACAGAGTGATACCCTTCCCTATGCTTTTTTGTGCTCAACTTATTTTGGTTCCACTAGGAGTTTCAATTCCAGTGTTGTTGCCAGACGGACCAGAACTTTAGATCGTGTCTCATTCTTTATCAGTAAGACAGCATTTGGCGACTGTATGAATGTTAATGAATTTGTTTGTGCAAAGGAAGCATGCTCTGTCCAATACTGACAAATACAGAAACTGATTGCCCCACAATCTATGGCTGATACGCATATATTTGGACTTTACAGGCTGTTGACAGGATCAACAGTCAGGACGTTTTTAGAACAGTAATAAATCAGTCTTTTATTCATGTAAAACGAACCAAAAATATATCTGAAAAGCAACAGGTTTCAGCGTACAAGTACTTCAGGGTCTTAAAATTCTGCACAACCCATTGTGTGCCCAGTGGTGTGTGTCACTAAACCAGAAAGTCTTGGACATGGTGCTCACTCACGAGTGGCAAATACTCAGCCCAGGGTGGTATATCAACATACCACAAACAGATCTAAGCAAAGCTATGTTCTGAGTTCTCCAGGTTATAAATGATGTTACTTGTGGGATGCTAAGTGCCACCAACTGGTGAAACATTCATCTGTGCCTGCACACCTCAAATAGGTTTGGCGTTTTTCCATTTCAGTTTTAATTTGTGTTGGACTAGAGAGCATATACTTTTTAAAATGACAAAGAGAAGTCTTCAGTTGCCAGGTTACCTGCTCCTTAAGTATATTTGCTCAGTTAGTTAGCTGTTTTATGTTAAGCTGCTTGGCTCCAGACTGGTGATGAAAAGCAGAGACTCCCGCCTTCGTTAGGAGTTGTTTCTCCTCCGTCACCAGCACAGCGCATGGAACCTTGATAATTGATGTATTTCACATAAAGGAGTAGTAATTAAGATAATGAGATTTTCAGTAGCAAGCGTTGCATGCCAAAATGAGAGGGAGCATGATTCTCGACTGCCTCACTATGAATTATCCCTCCCTGTTCTAGTCTTCTGTTTCAGCAGCGCTGCGTCTCCGTCTGCAGACGCCGGCGTCCTCTCTGTGTTCCCCCTACCACATCTGCTTCCCCTCTCCACTCCCATCCACAGCTTGTCCTCATTTGTTTGCTCAGTGCATAATTAGGTATAGGATCACCCATTGTGTAATTATGGATAGCAGTTTGATATGTAATTAAAATTGTATCAGTATTCAGTGTAATTTGTGCTGTGCGATTACCTATTAACAGTGCAAACAGTTGTGCTTAAGAACCCGTGACTGCCCCTCTCATAGATGTCACTGCGCTGCTCTGTCACTATTTACATACCAGCAGGTGCTACATCTGATCAAAACACCTCTCTTCTTGACACACACATCATCAACATTAATGCTGCAGTATTCAGCTCTCTGGCAGTTGGACTGATTATTCTACCATTTCTTTTCCATCTCTGTACACAGCCATGCACTTTCATGCCGAATGAGTCAGTGCAGCAACACAGCCATGATTGTTTCTCTCCAGTACAGACGCCACAAAAACGACGAAGGCCTTTCAAAGAGCTTTTTAGTGAGATCTTATAATAAAGCCAAAGAAAAGGGTGGCTGTCGAGGACAACCCTAGGAAACATCTTAATGAAAGCAGTGGGCTGAATCCTGAGCTTGAATAAGCTGCCTGTGCAAATTCACCGCCTCGTAATTAGGCATCCCTGGAAAGTCTGCAGTCCTTGTGTGTTTGAAAAGTTTTTGTTTCTTTTCGTAAAGGTTAAGAACCTGTATATACAGTATACTTTACTCCGTCATTCACAAACAGTGACAGAACTAAGGTTTTCCACTTGCATGTGGACTCGTGGCTGGACTGGAGGCAGACTGTGAATCTCCTTCCATTTGGTGACGTGTTTGATTAGTAGCTGTGGTGAATGCAAGGAATGCAGTAAAATGAGAATTTAATTCTTAAAAATCATTTTTGAAAACCTCTAACGGTGTCAGCACAGTATTTGTTGCTAATAATTTGGTGCCTCCTTTCTTATTCATTCTCTCCACAGTTGTATTCCCGACACCCAGTGTTCAGGGTTTAACTTTGCCCCCACTCTTTCTCTTGCTCTCCGTGTCTGTACTTGTTTTCATCACACTGGTAACATCTCAGGTCACAGCTGTTACATGACTCTCCCTTTGTGTCACTGTTGTCATGTTCATGCAAAACCTTAATTCTCTTTCCTTTTACACCTTCACCTACAAAGAGCATCAGACACACAACACGTTACGTTACTGTATGGATCCTCACTACAGAGTGACTCAACCACTCCCTGTTTCTACAGTCTGTGAAAAACACCCGGCTCTCATGCTGAGTCGATGGCACTTGTTCTGGGCTACACAGTGATTTATTTATGATCAGAAGTAGGTCAGACGAGGAGAGATTAACATCTATAGACATAAAAGTTAGTTGTGCCTGCAAAGAAGCAAAGAGTAAGAGACGCATGCATATATTTTTAATCAAGGGCAGAAGATAACATTTGTCTGTGCTTTCAAACATTTGAAAACAAATAATAATATAATATATATTTTAAAAAGTTAATTTTCTCTCTCTTTTTCAGCTCCTTTGACAGACAAGCCGCCAAAAATCCTGTTTCCCTCGGAACACAAGATTAGCACCATGGAGCTGCAGCTTGGTAAGAGCATTATGGGGGTTTTCCTCCTGCTGCAATCACTGCTATGTTATTTCCACACAAAAAAAATTGGGGAATGGATGACATTTTAAAGTCCTGTCCAACACACCTCCTGGCAAATGAAGACAGATTGATGAGTCCACTTTGGTTTTGCATAGAAACAAATGAAAGACTGAGATGTAAGTGTTTCCCATGTTTGCAAACGGGCGCTGCTAATGTCCCTGCGGCTGTTCTCTCAACAATGGAGAGCCCATATGGTGCCAGGGTTCCATACGCTGGCTCGCCACATGGAGAGGCAGCCGCTTTCCGTTGGCGCTGTTTGTCTTTGTTGACTTAGGGTCAGGTTGGACCGATTGCATGTCCATACGTGCACGAGTGACCATATGCATGTGGTTGTTTGTTTGTTTTTGTGTTTCCCGTGGCAGCATATTGCTCCATTTCTGGGCACAGTCCGGTGTCCACATGGTGCACACTGCTCCGTGAATGGCTAATGTGTCTGTCACTGTGACGCCAATGGGATAAGACTGGAGGGGTCTGGGCTAGATGAATGGGTGACAGGGAGAAGACAGAGTGGGGTGTGGGGACAGAGACAAAGGATGGTACGTCGATTCTCTGAGCAGTCATCTTCGGATTCAGTGGGAAGCCGGGTTTACCTGTAGTTCATTTAAAAAAGGCTTCACGGTTGGTTGATCAAGAGTGAGAAATTACTGCTGGTGATGAACTGACAAGTGCCGACTCACGTCTGCACAGCCATGCATGAATACAATGGAGGAAGTCCCCTGCAGCTCTGTGTGTCAATGCACTACAGATTACATTCAAAAATAGGAAAATTATTTTTAACTTGAAAGTGGAGTATAAAGATATACTGTAAAATTATATGGGAATTACATGGAGCTACAGTATATTCATCAGCGAGGACTCCATACTTTTCCTTTATTCTCTAAAAAAAATTAGGACCTAAAACAGAGCATGACGTCGATTTACTATCACATCTAGATAGAAATGCATGATAATAATAATTCAAGACAAGACAGGAGTGCATATGATTAATCACAAATTGATTTGACAGCTGACCATCCAAAAGGACATTATTTACCAGTGATGTGGCCTGCTGTATGTCCTATTGGACCAGTGGATTCCCTTAATTATTTTCTTTTCTGCCTTAATGGGATCAAATTTTCAAAATTAAAACCCATGTCTGGATGGCTTGTATTGATAAAGACCTACACAACTAAATATATGTCTTTGACTTCACATTTATTCTGCCTCTGCAGATGATAAGCAACCAAACTTTGCCAGTAAATGAAATTATTTACATGTTAAAAAGATATTCCCACCAGTCAGAATCTTTTACATCATCTTTTTTGATTTAAAAGATTATGGCAATTGGATTTAGTTGGAATGAGAAGAGGCTTTGTGTTTTTCATCTTACATTAATTTGTCCCCTCAAGGATAACTGGAAAAATAAGGACTGATTGAAACAAATGAGTAAACGCCTAGGTTTTTGGATCGGTATATTTATATGAAACATTTTAATTTGAATTAGTATATTGACCAAATTTTAGGCTGAGGAGCAAGGTGAAGCCTCCACAGATGTAAGATGGACGTTGAAATGTTATTTCAGTCATGTGGTGCTTCTGTAGGAAGAATTGTTGTTACACAGTGCTCGTTGTTCTGCATAAAATCTGATTAATTTCACAATTTAATCGACACATTTATTTAAACAGCCTTATGATATATTTGACTGAAGACTTGAGAATGTGCTTACATCAGGATGTCTTCCTGGGAAGGGGACGATCCAAAGCTGTAATCAATCTTGGCTCGTGTGTATTTGTTTTATTCTTTTCTATATTTTAAACCCTTTATTTGTTGGGGGGCGGGGAGGAGGGCTGAGGGGGAGGATCTAATATATTTCTGAGTGTAATACCATAGCTTATGTGTCCTGGCACTGACGGGATACAGGTTTGAGAAACGTTATTAACATATAAATGAATTGGCCTGAAATATGTGTCTCGTGTGCAAAGCCATAGACTTAAGCCTTCAGGTGGCCTGGTAATGGATATTTTTATACTTAAAAAAAACTTGCTTCACTGCCACATAAGTCACTGCAAAACTGTTTTCACAGCCTCTGCTCCTTACCCTGCCTAGGACTGATCTACAAGCTGTGCCACTCCTTCCTAATATCATGGCACACTGCAGCTGTGCTTCAACAGTGCAAAAAAGCGTAGGGGAAAGAAAAAACTATGGGTAATGTCATGTGGTGAGTATCCACCGACTCCCTGCAGAGTAACAAAAGCGCAGACGCTGGGGTATATATTTTACAGTCTCGCTCTCCATTTTTGTGAGCTGAAAAGTAAGTCTGTCCCTCCAGACGGGAGTTTTCTCTTTTATTTAGCTTTACTTATTTATTTTCTTCTTCCTTAATATTTGTTGAGTCATGCCCTAAGCAGCTTTATTGAGCAACATGGCAGATTTATAGAAAGCAGAGAGAGAGAGAGAGAGAGAGAGTGGAGGGAGAGATGGGATCTAGTTGGAGGCCGGTGGATGGGCAGTAAAATCAGAGCCATAAATCTGCTACCCTGCTACACGTAGACTCACTTTATCTCCTCTGCTGCTGTTGTTGCTGCTGCTGCTGCTGCCACTGCTGCTGCTGCAGGTCTCAGCCAACTGAGTTTACACACCAGGGACCAGCAGACACATAAATAAAACACATGTTACATGAACTCTCACGGACGGCGCTGCAGTCAGGATGTGAACGAAGGGAAATGTGGACGGTGCTGAGCAAAGCAAAAGACTGATGTGTCGTTTGACCAGGGATGTCAGACAAGGGTGATAAGATGTGAAGAAAAAAAAAACCACAGAGTCAGAGGGGACTATTTGTTGACTTGTCAAAGTACCCCTCCAACCCCCCAGTCTCCTTGCACATCTCTGTCCAGTGACCCAAAATCCCTCGGCTCCAGATCTACACTGTACAAATGTGAACCTGCAGCTTACGTCTGCGTGCGCATGCATGCATGTGCACACACTTGCTGATCTCATCACAGATGTACAAGGCTGCGGGGCTTCACAGGTCCACTGGGGATTTGCGACTGAGCAAATGCAGAGTGCTGGCCTGCAAATATTACTTTTGGACAACTTGACATTTTCTCAGTAGCTTCCAAAAAGGAGACCGAATCAAGGTTTGACTAGAAGAGGGTTTGGACTTTGTCAGCCATTCAGTTTTTTTCCCCCTTTCGCTAGATTCACTAGTGTCCCCCAGTGGTGAGTTGATGCAGTCCACTTGTTCTTTTTATAGAAAGGCAGACTAATTTGTGGCTTTTGCTATAGGGAGAAATACATGCACTTATTAAGGAGGGAGAGAGACAGACTCCCGGACTTGATGTTGATTCCCTCAGGATGATTTGTCATGGATTTGTAGTCCCAGAAGGTGGCAGGATTCAGCTCAACGCTTACGCAGCAATAGGCTGTGAGCCTCTCTGGCTGTTTTGCTGTAGCTGTCCCCGTTTGTCACACACAAATACACACACTTAGATATTCCAACGCACCCACAAATTGGACAGGACACATACGTACACACACACAGAGCCCTCAGTAACCAAGGGGTAATTGTAACTGATAGAGGATTTTACTCTCCCAAAAGCCAGCAGATGGGTGCACTCTACTGGAAAGGAATTAGAATCCATTATTTCAGAGAGCAGGACCCAGCAGTACAGACAGAGCAGCTAGAGAGAGATGACTCTTAAGCCTACTTGATTTTAATGCTGCCCAAGAAGAGGCACAAATATGGGCCTGTGGGTCACTGGAAGCGGGAGCGTGTCCTGTGTTCCAAACCAACATTTGCTCCGCGAAAAGAATTTTAAAAACCGATCAGTGCTGTACTGTGGCATCTGTGATCTAAGTAAAATTCAAGGAATTATCATGGCAGATATTGTTTCTTAAAATTGGCAATATGACTTAATTCACTTTTCTTTCTCACCTTTTACGTGACAAAGGGCAATGTTGAATTTGACATTGACATGGAAGCCATTTTAAAGGTCAGTGCAGAATCGCCTACACTGCCTTTTTCTGTCACTCTATAACACACCTACTTTTACTGATTGCCTTTCAACACCTCTTCTGTTACATCTGTCTCACATCTGCCATCAGGTCACACTTCTGCTAACAAGTTTGTGAGATTGCTGCAAGTCAACTCTCTTTGTTAAGCATGCATTGTGGGAAATGTACAGGGTACATTAAGAGGAGAGCACACTTCAGGCTCTGCCCCTGAGTCAGATCTTTTGTTGGTGTTGTATTTAAGCCTGTAAATACAAAACGACCTGATAGTACCAAGCTCTAATTTGACTATCAATCTCTGGTGGTGGCAATCTACGGTCTGCAGCACCAATATGGCCCATTTGGGCTATAAAACCTGGACTGCCAAATGTTAGTGCAAGTTGTCCATAAATTCAAAGTCATTTTCCTACATATTGATTCCATTAGATGGCGACATACACAACTTACCTATGAGGATGACCTATTCCTCAACTTTGGGGTTCCAAACCACTGCACCATTCTAGTGGAATAAAAAAAGTGTGTTGACACATGTCAAGACACTTGTCTTGATTGTTCAGTATGGCCCTGGGAGTACTTTGCCTTTTAAATGGAAATTGTCATTTGTTTCAGTCTGGTACCAACATATCTGGTATCATTATTCATCGGTCTTTGTCTTTGTCCCTTCAAGCTCAGCACGGTCCCTTATAATTATCTATCGTTTTAAAAGACTAGCAGAATAAAAGGTTTTCTCATTTGGCAGTCTGTGCAGTTAATGTGTTGGTGATAAATGATATGTTCATAAGGGAGAGAAGAAGAAAAAAACAGTGAAATCCACCAACCCTTAAAGGTCATACTATACATACAAGGGACTACTTCCTGCTTCCCCATTCAATTTGGTGCAGTTCCGTAGTGACCCAGCAGTAAGTAACCCACGGTGACCGGTATGGTAACTAGTGTGTCAGCAAAACAAA